GGGGGGGGGGGGGGGGGGGGGGGATCATTTGCAGTATGCAAACAGATACATATGGTCAAGCTGCTTCAAATTTGGTCGCTGGTAATAATCTGGAACAGACCATTCAACAATTAATGGATATGGGAGGTGGCAACTGGGACAGAGAAACAGTTGTTCGTGCACTAAGAGCTGCTTATAACAATCCAGAGCGAGCAGTGGATTACTTGTACTCTGTATGTCTAAGTTGTATTCTATGCATTCTCTTGAAACCTGGTCATAATATTTTGTCACTAATTGTGTTTTTTTGTGTTCAGGGTATTCCGGAATCTGCAGAAGTTGCAGTACCAGTGGGTCGTTTTGGTTCTGGTCCAGCCACTGAAACTGAGGCATCCCTTCCTGCACCTGCTTCTGGAGCACCCAACACAGCCCCCTTGAATATGTTTCCTCAGGTAAGTTGATGCATGAAAAACACTTTTGTTGGTTTGCTCACGTTCACTTATTTTTTATTGGGTTGCAATCATGCAGGAGGCACTTTCTGCTGGCGGTGGTGGCCTTGGATCTCTTGAATTCCTTAGAAACAATCCGCAGGTACTTAGTGCAATATCATTTATTGGGTTTTCCTTATTGATAAGCTCATTTGCTTTCTTTACTAGGTATCTTAGTGCATGGAGTGTCAAATCCGTTGTTTGGTCTAAGTCCTTTTTCACCTAATAGTTGTGTTTGTTTGCATCTTTTGACATGTTGGTTCGTGTTAAATGTATCAACTAAAAAGTTACAAACATTTGAACTAAAAAACGTGTATTGATTATATTTGTCCAGTCGTATCATTCTATTATTTGTATATCACTTGTACACAGGCCCAAAATCGTGATTTATTTTATTTCGTATGGACCATGGATTTGAATAGAACTAAGTGCGAAGTAGTTACTGTTGAGGTTTCTTATCATTATTCATATTATAGTTTCAAGCCTTGCGGACGATGGTGCATACAAACCCTCAAATCTTACAGGTCTACACATCCTTCTGCCTTGAAATTTGCTTAGAGGTTATAATCATGGTTTTCCTAGAGTTAAATCTTTTGCTTCTGGTGGCAGCCCATGCTTCAAGAACTTGGAAAGCAGAATCCCCAGCTTTTGAGACTCATTCAGGATCATCACGCAGAGTTCCTTCAGTTAATTAATGAACCTGTTGACAATTTTGAGGGGTCGGTCTTACACTACTATGATCTGGTTAATTTAAATCTCGTTAGTTTTGCAGTTCTTTAGTTGTGATTGATCTCGTGCATATAAGATGATAGTTCCATAGATAACCCTCGTCTTATTTTTCTCCCATCACCAAATTCGCAGCGCTTCTGCTGTAGGTTCCTGCATGGGACAATAATACATAATCAGGTCAGGTGTATCTATCTTTAGAACAAGCCATCGGTAAACTGGTTAAGCCATAGATTGAGATCAGAGGTTCAAATCCTTCCATTTGAACTACAAAAACATAGTCATGGGTAGATTAAGAACTGTTTCTGGGACTGGTTTACTCGAGATACTGTTCACTCGATTGATTATTATTTCATTGGTTGAATCTCTTTTGATGCGACATTGCTTGCATCCATCTGTAGAACTACAAACTATGTTCTTTCTTTCAGAGAAATGTTTGAACAGGCTGAGCCAGACATGCCTCATGCCATTAATGTTACTCCAGACGAACAGGCAGCCATTGAACGAGTACGAACTCCTTTATATTCCCTGAGACGTCTCTTTGTGTTCCCTCTTCAAACTAAATCTTTGTGCTCATCATTTTTCTGCTTGCTCCCTTGTATGTAGCTCGAGGCAATGGGATTCGATAGAGCCTTGGTGATCGAGGCATTTTTGGCATGCGATCGCAACGAGGAACTAGCAGCTAACTACTTACTGGAGAATTCTGGAGATTTTGACGATTAACGAAAGAAGAACTAATTAATGTTAACCGCTGTGGATTCATTATTTTTGGTGCTGAGGTGAATTGTTTCCCTTTTCAGCATTATTCCGAGTCAGTTTTTGCATTGCATTTTATATACTCCACTAATAAATAGGAAAATTAATTGTTCAAGTGTATGGTGTTTCCGATTTAGATAATTGGAATCTTTATGTTTTATTCAAAGCTCATTTGTTGGTAGCTGTAGCTAGTTGGTTACAACATTATTGCAGATAGATCACGAGATTTTATAAACTTTTCTCATTGTCGTGTAAATATAATTGTTGAAAAATATCAACAGATTTTGACATGACATTTTGTTTCTTGTGATATGTTTATGCTATTAACATAAATCTCTCTCTATATATATTAAATTTACCAAGAAATCTTCTTATTTGAAATCCAACAAATAATTTAAAATATTTTTTTTTTCTTTGCTTGAAATGAATGCATCAAAAATTGTGTTAAGATGGTGTTACTGGAAAATAAAATAAAAGAAAGTTAAAAAGTTTAATAATATAGGCTTTTAATTATAATTTGTTAATTGAAAATTAAATATAACAAAGGTTAAATAGTTAAATTAACTTTAAATTACAAATTTAATCCGTACTTAAAATTTACTAATAATAATATTAGGCAACATGAAATTCAATTAATATATAGTTATTTTTAAAAATTTAAAATTGGGTAGAAACTTAAAGGTTTGAATGGGAGACCAAGACGTGAAAGAGCGTGGACAATTTCGTGGTGTCCATATCCTTTCTAAGACCGTGACTCACGGATTGAAGACATTGCTGCAAAATTTCCCCATTATTAATGTGCTCCTGCAAATCCACCATTCTCTCTCTCTTCGACGAACTGCAAAAGCAAGGGAAACAAATTCTCATCTCCATTGCCGCTTCCATTCTTTCAACTGTAAGATTCACTCTCTCATTCCCTGTAATTTCTTGTTTCTTTAAGATCTCTGCTCTTTTTCTACCTTTAAATTTGATTTTCCTGCCGAATGTCCGCTTGTTTTCTCTTGTGATGGATGTTGCTTTGCCTTATGGATGCGGTTCCTTTTGTTAATTGGAGCTGATTATTGCGACAATGTGCACAACCATTGGATCCAGTTCTATTTTCCATTTTGTTCTTAGCGACGTTTTGGTGTATGATGATGATTTTCTCTCTGTTGCTATTTGGCATGCGTTTTAAAGAGTTGTTGAGGATGTGGAGATGTACTCTGTGTTTGATTTTCTTGTTAATTGAAACTATCGAGCGATGTTTATGGATTTGGAGTTGTGTTGAACGGATGCCTGATAAGATCTCATGCGGCTGGTTTTCGATTAGCTTTGTTTGAGGTTGCATAAATTATATGCAGTCTCGTAGGATCTCTATGGTGTAGTGGAGCAATTCTTGTTTCTCGAGCGAGTACAAATTTTTCGAGTTTAGGTTTATTTATATCGGTTACTTGGTGCTGTTTGCTCATGGATCAGTGATCTTGGATTATTTTGCTCTTCTAACTTCAATGTTGACTTGAAAAATAAAACAGTTCGAATTGCTTTTTAATGTATGAGTTAACTTTTGAATTTCTAGTTAAAAATCATGCGATCTATAAAATCACAAATGTTTTGTATATCTACAAGTTTTAATACATGATTCTGATTTTGTTGCATTGTATCTTCTCTAGAATTCAACAAATCTGCAAGTTCAAATCTCCAAGAACTAATGTTTTGGCCAAGCTTTCAAGGATTTTATTGTTTCATGCATTTCAAGATGCTTTGTTGTGCTGCAGATTTAATCGTCATCTTACCTCTTCAAATTCTTATATATTTAAACGGAATCTGAATTTATTGAAATGCTTGCTGAAGAGAAGGGCTCGTGTTGATATCTATCTAAATTTGACCATCTTTTGCTCTTGTAGAAGATTCTGCGTTCGGAGCTACATTTTAGAGCACAGAGAAAGATTAGTGCTCTTGAACATGGTTCTTGAGAGCATTCTATCTTCTCCTCATAGGAGGCACCCACCATTTAGAAAACAGTTTCCTGCAAATGAGTTGGGCAGTTGGTCCACTCTCTTCAATCGACATCGCTTCCTCTTAACCGCACTGGCACTCTTGACTTTACTTTGCACAATCTATCTTTACTTTGCTATCACATTAGGGGCTGCTGTTTCTTCTTGCTCGGGTTTGACTGGAGCTCAAAGGGAGTTGTGTCGTCTGGAGCATGCTGAAGCTTCTCTGGGTAAAGGCAAATTCAAATTTCTATGATACATAGGGACCTCGAGGTACAAAACCTTCTCATGTATTGGTTCTTCTCTTTGGTGGGATCTGTATTTATAAACAATTGAAGATTGCCATAGGCCAAAAGTTCATTCATCCATTTTGATTCACATATATATATATAGCATATAAGATGTAGCAGAATGTCATGAGCATTGCTTCCTTGCATTAATTTGATATTTTTGTTTGTTTCTTCTTTTTGATGATGGGTTTGTAATTAAAACTTCAATCAGAATGTTCATATTATTGTCATTACAATAATAGATGGGAACTACTGCTCATGCCCTACCTTACTTTTGCTGCATCTACTATCTATGACCTGAAATGATTTTAAGATGAACTCTAGCAGATTGTCATTAGAATGTCTTTTGCCTTATTCCTGCCCTTAAAAATTGAAAATCTATTCATTTCACATAATTTATCTGAAATGGAATCAAGGAGAGAAAACAGATGTGATAATCAGTTGACATTATTTATTCCAACATACTAAATAAATAAATAAATAAATAATGGTTGAAGGAAACATGAAGGAGTTAATGATTTTGGTTGTCGCTTGATACGTGGCTTAGAACATAATTTTTTCATTAATTTTTCTGAATTATGAGGAAAAAGAAAAATATACCCATCGTCATAAATTTATCCTTAAAAAGAAATAAAATTGGTCAAAAGTCGACTAGAATTAGGGCAAAAAAGAGGAATATCGGAAAAAAAAAAAAAAAAAGGAGGAAATGGGAAGGATTTCTGCCTTGGGTCCAGACCTCAGGCTCAGATTCCCAACCTACGTTCGAACCATAGTCTCGGCCGGAACCATGTCGGCCCGACAGACGCGTGTCCAAACCTAGTTAGGTTCGAATTTCGCTCCTCAGATGCAACCCAGCCCGTTCGTCAGTCGCAGCCCAATCCATGAGCGTCCTGCTCAAATGCAGCCTAGCCCAGCTCGCCGCGTGGCCCGGACTCATCCACGCTCGGTCCAACACCTGCCAGCCAGCATGCGCTATGATCCTACCTGCTTCGCCCAATCCGATGACTTGCACGTGGTAAGCCGCCTCCAGCTCTTGGCTTAAATGCGCCTCAACTAAGTCGACCCCCCTAAGGTTGGCTCCACCGGCTCCAGCTCCAATTATTTGGCTTATCTGCCCGGTTTATGATTTTTTTGAAGATATCGGACCTATTCCTACTATTTATGATGCCAATAAGGTCACTATTTAATCAATTTTAGGTCATTTTTGGAGTTAAAAGGGGATTTAATTAATATATATATTATGCATTAACTCAATGTCATGAATTCATTCTATTGAATTGAATTTAGGGACAAATTCAAGCTAGATCCGAGGATAATTCAACATAGGTTAGACAAGTAGGTGACTTTATTATTGACTTGGTTGGATGGATTTATTAAGTATAAATGACACGTGCTTTGTGGCTATTGCACGTGACGTACCTTGTGATTGTTTAATATCTGTTTATTTTGCTATGTCATACTATGACACGTATGTTATGTTATATTGTAAGTTATGTTATGAAATGTTTATGTTATGTTGTGGATCTTGTTGTGACGTTCATGCTGTATGATGCATTATATTATATGACATGTACACTATGTTAACCAATTACCTCAGGATTATGATATACTGTTACACTACGTATGCATTCATGAAAGCTATATTTATGAAAAAATGAATATACGACCTACATCATATATTTATGTCATGATTTAAAGCTATGAGGATTTCATGCATTTTTGTGTATCCCATGTATCAAAATACTTCCCCATTATAATGAGTACGGACACATACATTACGGTATCTATGTACATCATGATATTGTGTGGGCCTCTTTCTCTACGTCTTCAACAGTTGAGCGTGGGTTAGCTGAAGGGCAGCCCATGGAGTACTATACGCCTGTCTAGTAGTCTCTGTCCGCATACTTGAGCTATGTGTAGAGAAGTTCTACACATTCAATTTTAGGTCAAAATAGAACATAGAGTTTAAGTCCATTAAAAGTTTTTATGAAAGAACGAGTCCCTCCATGATTGCTTGCATCTACATTTTTGTACCCTAATAGTAGAGTTACTGATTATTTTTTAAAATAATCAAGTCATGCTCTACTTTTATTTTTCAGGTAAAGGTAAGTAATTTTGTATGGATGACGATATCGCAATGATGGTCATGAGACCGAAGTTAGGATAGTTGCATTTATGTTTAAATTGTAGTACTTAGGTTAGATCAAGTGTTTCCATTACTTTGTTTGTTTTTTTTTTTTTTTTATTATTTTGATTCCGCTATTTTTGTGATGCTTACTTTTATTTGAAATGAATTTTGAGTCCATATATCGTTTCAAATGATTTAAATGAACTTTTACATGCATATTAGACATGTTATGCATGTAATGACGGCCTTATGATTGTCACAAAAACATTTTCAAACTTTTACATTAATATTCTTCCACCATTACGAAGTATTTGAACTCAAAACTCAAGACAAACAACCGTACCATGTAACTAAAAACAAAGTAAAAAGAACAACATCAAAGATCAAATGTTTCAATTTTGCTCTATCAAATGTTTCCGTACCATGTTGTTTCTGGTTCGTTAGTGAGCAAATGTTCACTCGTAATCATTTCAACTTTAAATTTTAAATTTGAATATCTCAACTATAGGGGAACAGCCCGTCTTATATAATTTGTATTATTTAAGCAACATCCATAATGTAATTTTACATCACATAAGAAGTGACATTACATGTAAACTCATTAGGTTAGGTCACGACCCAGTAGAATCACATCATATACATGCAAAAAAGTAACTTTACTGTTTGGTAGTATGCAACACTAATAGAATCATATCAATTCAAGGAGTGACCCAATATGTGTGTGCACGTCGTGTAAGACACGATCAAAGTAGAATTATATCATATAAATGAAAGGAGTGACTTAGTAGTCAAAACACGACCCTAATAAAAACACATCTCATTCGTGCAAGGAGTGACCTTCCAATCGTTAAGGCACAACTCTTGCATACCTTAATTTATCCTATTAATATTTTAAGCTCTTCCAAAAAAAAAAAACCTGTTCTTTTTGTGCAATCTATGTTCAATTTCTCAATTTATTTCGCTTTCTAGAAAATTAGATGATGCTAAACCATTTTTGAGTTAAACTATAAAATATTAGAACAGCTACACCGACTAGAAAAACAGAGAATAACAAAACCGAATCGACCAACTTAGCTTGGTTTTTCGGCTAATCCCAATAGCATCAATAATGGTAAATTTTAACTCTTTTTTAATTGTTATTATTATTTTCAATTTTCAATTTCATATATTACAAATAAATAGAATGAAATAATTGGAGGTAAAATAAAAGAAATAATCTCATTGGTTTCTAATTCCTTGTCCATCTCATTTCTATTCTTTTATTAAATCTAATATCTTTTTGTAAAATTAAAAAAATTCTAATGGTTTGGTTAAATAAAATATTTAAATAACATATACAAATAAAATTAAACTATATTCCTTAATAAAAATTTATTTTAATTTTATTTTATAGTTGTTATTTTTAATGTCAAATAAAATTAAAATTGAGATCTATTACTAATTATATGTTCGATTGGCCTATTACTTAGTGATGTATTTTAATTATTAGTTGAAATATGAAAGTGGTATTTTAGTAATTATAATACAACATATTTAGCAAATAACGTCCCTGAGCTTCTAATTTTGACCCCAAATAATTTTATAGTAAACAATAACAATATAAATTCTTTTTTTAGAGTAAAGATTTTTACCCGTTAACAATTTATCTATCTATGTATATTTAGCTCACTTGAGGAAGCTAAAACATCTCTATTAGAAGCGTTCAAATGATTAAATGATCGAAAAAACTCCGTCAATCTAACTCATAAGTTTGAGCTGGGTTGGTTCATAAGTTCTCATAGCCCAAACATATTATTAAATTTAAAAGTATTTAGTTTATTTACGTATATTTATATATTTTTAAAATTATTTTTCTTCCAACAATTTATAAAAAAAAAAAAAAAAAAAAAAAAAAAAAAAAAAAAAAAAAAAAAAAAAA